ATTGTGGCATGGCCATTCCCCCTGGGGGGTGATTTCTCGCTTTGTATCTCTCTGTCTCTCTCTGTCTGTCTGGCGAGCACACGCGCCCTGTAGCCAAAACCTCTCCCAAAACAACAACAACAACAAAACAATCAAACAAACAAAAACAGTTCCCACAAAGCAGGGCCAATTCAACGACTTCAAGGACCTCGAGTGCTTCGAATAGCACCTGACCCTTAGCAGGCGTGCAATACATGATGCCCAGGAGGCTTTAATCGCATAGCAGAGAAAAGCTCTGCTTTGGAGTTAGGGTCAAAGGAGCTGGTTCAAATCTTGGCTCCACAGTTCAGGAGCTGTCCAGTTCCATTCTTTCGGCCTCCCTTTCCTTTTGTGTAAAATAGGATGGTGTCTGTCCATCGTGAGCACCGTGAAATGAAGTGTGCCGTGGGCGTTCGGCACCGGACGCGGTGTCCAGTCTACCGTAAGTGCTCCATAGACGCGACTGCTCTCACCAGCTCTCACCACTGCCAGGTGTGGCTGCAGAGCTCAGCGTGAGGAGGCTCCTGCTGCCTTTGGGGAGCTTGTGGCTGAGCAGAGATGCGACAGAGGTCGTGACCGCCAGCCTGGAGGCCAGACGTGGTCTATGCGGGATGGCATGTGTGGGCCGGGCACACGCATGCTCCGGGGAGAGCGGCCAGCCTGCAAGGCCCACAGGCCGGGTACTCTTCTCAGCACGCCACAGAGATTGTCTGGGTCCATCCTCATTAACTTACCAGGGAGTGCTGCCGTGTTCCCATTTCACAGATGAAGAGCCTGGTCCAGCGTGAGTGTGTCCCCCAAACTCACATGTTGGACACTTGATTCCCCGTGTGGTGTGTGCAAATGTGGGGCCTAATGGAGGCGTCCGGGTCATGGGGGCACCACCCTCGGGAATGATCAGTGTTGTGATGGCAGGGACAGGTTCCTCACAAGGGCATGAGTTTGGCCCCCTCTTGCTCTCTTTCACCCCTTTGGCCTTCTGCCATGGAATAAAGGCCTTTACCAGGTGCCAGTCCCTCCGTCTTGGACTTCCCAGCCTCCAGAACCACAAGCCGGTACATTTCTGTTCTTTATAGATTACCACAGAGACGGCGCTGCTCACTGCGCGTGCTCTAGGGGGAGTCGCCCAGGCCAAAGCATAGGCAGCCTTGAATGCCAAGCCTGGGAGCTTGGAAAACTTCCTGCTGGCAGGGAGAATCCAGCCACTGCTGGGCTGTCGGTGAGTGGTGAGCGTGGGGGATGGCCAGATGTCAAAAATGGGCTGGAGGATGAGAGGAGGGGAGAGAGGAGGGTGGGAGGCCAGGGAGGGGCATTTTTGGTGAGAGCCAAGGAGGGTACACCGGGCCAGGGTGGAGAGGAGGGACAGACGATGGCACAGCGAGGAAGTGGGGTGACGCACTAGCAGGGGCGGCTGCTTCTGGACGAGCACCAGCCCGAGTGCTGGTTTAACCCTCACGACAACACCTTCCTACGTTACTGATGAAGGAAGCAGTGCCCAGAGAGGTGAAATGGCTTGTCTGCAGCCGGAATGGGCCTTGAACACAGGCTGCCAACTCGAGCCACTGTGAGAGCATGATGGGAATCAGTAACACTGGAAGAGGGGCCAGAGGTGCCCCAACGTGCCACCCAGCACAGACCTGGCACATGGTAGGTACCAGCAAATGTAGGGTGGCCAGATGGAAGGGAGGGAGGAAGAGAGGGAGCAAGGAAATGGGAGAGGGAGACAGGGTTGGTGGTCAGAGCTTCGGACGGGCCAGCTCTCCTCTGCCTATCCCCTAGCCATTACTAATACTTCATCCATGCCTACCCATAAGTGCTAGTTTGGAAAGAGTTCTCAACCAAGGAGGCCTATCTTGAGAACCAGGGAGTGCCCCAGATCCAAAGGACCCTAGTCTCCCGGCCCACCCTGCCCCTGTGCAGCCTGTGGGCTTCTGGTTCCCCTCTGCACCGACAGTGGCTGGCGGAGCTTTGTTCTGAGGTGTGGCCATGTCTGACCACAGCCAGCTGGGATCTCTCAGGGCAGGACTGAGGCCCACTCATCCTGGCTTCCTGGAGGGCAGGCCCCTTTCGCAGGAAAACTCCTATCTACCCTTCAAAATCCAGCTCAGATGTCACTTCTGAGAAATGTCCTAAGGTCAGAGACAGAGAGAAATCAGACTCAGATAGACTCGGCGAGAGAATAAAAGACAGAAGTATTTGGAGAGAAAGAGAGGGAGACAGAGAAGAGAGACACGGAGAGAGGAGACGGCAAGACAGGACAGAGAGGCTGCCAGGCCCCAGGGAAGTTTGGACTCAGAGCAATAAAGGCCAGGCTTAAATCCCCTCACCTCCCAGGAGTCCTGCGAGGAGCTGGGAAGGGCTCTGGAGGCAGCGGGCACGATGACCCCATGTGACTGCAGAGCGAATCAGCGGCAGGTCATGAGATAGAGGAATCGTTTATTGAAAGCTCAGGACTTCCCACTCAGCCCCAGACCGCTCTCCAAAGCAGTCCTGTGTCTAGCCCAGCAATTCCTACTCAGAGCGGGGACAGAGAGACAGGCCCAGAGGGCACAGGTGGACCCAGGCAGATACTGTCACTAACACAGGCTAAAGACCGAAGGGAAACTGAGGCAGAGTGGGCAGGTGGGCAGGACTCCAGGTCAACAGGGAGCAATGGCAGCCATCTCTCAGGCTCAGGAAGCCACGGTCAACACAACGGCATTCTGTAAAGAACAACAGTTCTCAGTGAGCCCCCCAAGTCCTATGCCCAGCA